ATCAAAGAACTCTATATTTGGAACATATTCTTGGAATAACTAACTTGACAAGGAAATGTTCAGATAATGTATCATATAAGAGTACTACTATTAAAAACATAAAAAATAACGAGTCACATATTCGAAGAACAATCGATGTGATAAGATCATTTTTTAATCCATTTTCTACCGTAGATAGACAAAAGCTGCATTGTTTGTCATCAGGTGCTTCAGTTTCTGAAAATGTTATTGATGATGTCTTAAATGCGGAAAAAATTGGCAGTGAAATGGCTACAATCTTCTTAAAAGAAAGACTTGTACAAAACGATAATTTTCCTCAACCTATAAAAAGAAATCATTTAATGACTATGGCTGGTTCAAAAATGATTATAAAGTCTAAGAAAACAACAAATGTAGTTCAATTAAAGGAAAAGAGAAATATAGTTTGGCACTTACTTTTGCGTGCTCAAGATATCGATCTCGATATTGAAAAATCTTAGCCTTCCCTCTAACTTCTTTACCGTTTTCAATCGTAACTCCTGATGGGTTTCTAGCCAAAACTGATGAAGTGAAAAAATTTCACTATCTAACTAAGAATGAGACTAATTGCATGATAGAGGGGAAAACTCTAATAGTTAAAGATGGTGACGCTCAATTCTATTACGGGATTGGAATTGCCCAAAATTTCAATGAAATAGCCAAGATTATATTTTCAAGATTGCCGCATGACCACAATATTATATTCAGCACAGACTCATATAATCAGAGGATCATCAGAAAAACTTATTATAAATAGCGAAAAAACACGTAAACCCAGAGAATGGAATTTGTTTTTAAATAATGATGAAAATAAATGACAATTTGTTTCTATTTTAAGAAAAACCTGGAGAGGACAAGATTTCTGTGATGTTCTTAGAAACAGAAAATTTTTCATCATAGATCAAGGCAAATGCTTCCAAATTGATTTATCTGATAATTCAAATAACAACGAAATTGTAGAACTTTATTCCTCACAAGAAGAATCAGACACTAGGTTTGTTTTTTACTCCATCTGGGCCGAGCAGAAGGAGTATGAAACAGTAAAAATTTATTGCCCAGACACTGATGTATTTTTCATTCTGCTTTATTATGCCAAAATCTTAAAAATAACAATTGTTTTTTAAACTGGCCATGGCAATAAAAAAAATACTTTAAATATAACTAAAATCGCAGAAAAACTAACTCCTCAATTCTGTAATGCACTTTTAGCTCTCCATGCTTTGAGAGGGTGTGACACAACAGGGTATTGGAAAAGTTAAGCCAATAAAACTGCTAGAGAGAAACCAACATTTTGTGAAGATAATGTCGGAGTTACGGAATACATGGGATCTTACAGAAAATAAGTATCATGAAATGGAGAAATTTGTATGTGCAGTATATAGTCAACTGAATACACCACACATAAACACTGCATGATACAACATGGTGTATAAAAAAACCAGACCGGTGCTGGATCCGAAGAAAAGTTTTGATTTATCATTTATGCCACCATGTTACGATTCTCCTAAGAAACATTTAAGTAGATGTAATTACCAAATGGCAATTTGGAAAATGTCCCACATAGCACAACCCGAAGTTCCTCCATCTTTCCATGACCACGGTTGGGTCGAAAAGGATAGAATTGTTGAACCAAAATAGAATGGAGGCTCCATTACCCCAGATTGTCTTGAGGAATGTGAATTAAACAAACATGGGTCAGTCAAGGATAATGATGACAACGAAGACGAAGAAGAAAGCGACGACGATTTTATAATAGGATTTTGAAGCGATGAAGAAGATCAACTTTCCGACTGCTCCTGCAAGATGTAAAAATTGCTGTAAGCTGCAAATATATTTATCATAAGTAAAACTTTATTTTTATGCTTTTAATCAAAACTATTATGTATCAGAAATTATTTAAAGCTTCATGTTTTAGGTAAAATATTTTCACCGACTCTCATGGAACTATTCATCTTTAAAGTGACTTGAAAACATAGCTGACTCAATATCTTCTGTTTGACTTAATAGTTTATGTGCTATGTGTCTATTGTGTGTTTATTAATTCACATATCCTCTTGATTTTTATGTACTTTATAGATATAAATGAATAAATTAAAGTAACTAACTTCATGGCGCTACAGACCACTGTGGTTCTTGGCCGCCTCAATATATTTTGAATATATTTTTTTCATCAAAAATTTTCCTATACTAGCTAAATAAATAACATTTTGATCAAGAAGGCAGTTAAATCAAATTTGATACATAATTTATGGGTAATTTGTCTAATAGGCACTAACAATAAGGTAATTAATGTTATTTTTGTAAAACAGCGCCACGTCGAGATACTTTATTTTACCGCCTTGATCATGATATGTTTAGTCATTATATGGTGGAAGTGTGAGCCTTATTTATTATTAATTATAAATATAAATTATCTTTCAATAGGGCCCATCTTAAACATATTCTATTTTTAAAAAACTTTTTTGCATTGGTTATAGTTGTACTATTGTACTAATATTAGTTCGCCAATTCAAATATGTTGGTGTATAAGTATTATAAGTACAGGTTTGAGTGAAAGAGTACCGAAAGCGCTTCGGTCACTACCACTTTTCAACTGATGTAGTGCATTTTATAAGAAACCACTTCAAATATTTCAAAAAGTGATTAGTGGATTTTAAAGAAGGATAATTGCCCAATGTGTTTATATAAAGACATTTTTCAATATTGTTGGCCATTTAATTACAAATTCCACTTGATTTTCAACTTTCGTTTGACCGACATAAAAAAAATGACTTTACTGGTGTTTTTTATTGCCTCAGCCAATTATATTTTTTCTTTATGTTTTCTAACTTCCTGACTATTCAGCTTTAATAAAAAGCCACTTATACAGAAATCAAGCTAAATGCTAAATGTCAGTGACCAAAAAACTAAATCAAGTTAGATTTGTTAATCCGCCATTTTTGAACAGTTCATTCACTTTTTTTGGTGGGAACATTGGCTATTTTTAAATAATTTGTTGAAAGAAACACAACAATATGCGATTTATAGAGATGTGGGGGGGAGGGAGTGCACGGTAAGGGTGTCTGGCCCACCGTGTATTTCTTTTTGTTAAGGCAGCACAGCACTCAGGTGACCACCGAGGAACCTTCCTAGTAAATTGTGTGTTTTTGTTTTAGGAACGAATTGGTTAGCAATTTGAATTACTACAGATGAAAAAGTTTCAATGTTTGTACTGTGACATGGGGAAATATAAAAGTCGTTGAAACTATTACAACAGACTTGTGAGAATTTATCCCATTTGGCCTTATCTATTCTCCATTTTCCAATAGAATGTGGAAGAAATGGGTCGATTTGCAGATGTAATAAAAGAGGCATATGGTCGCTGCCGGCAAGGCCACAGTGGAAATAAGACTGGAGAATAATGGGAAAGGTGTGTGAGGCTAAACAGAGATCAATGAAGTTCCAAGTATGGTGGGCTCGGCTGTAGAAAGATGGTTCGGAGAGACTGCACACTGCGAGGAAAAAGTCTCTATAGATAGACTAGAAATTTTCCCCTGCCATCTGTTCGATGATTGGGAACTCACATTGGGCTAAGAGTGTTTGTATCCCCCATTAAAAGGATTGGAGGAGGAAGTTCGAGTAAGTGGTCTCAAATATTGCCGTATGTGATACGATCTGAAGAATGTAGGTAAATATTCCAGATCGTAAACTGGACTGGCAAATGTACAACAGTGGCCACTGCTTCTAGTTTAGAGGACAGTGTGACTGATACTTTTTTGAAGGGCAAGAGTGCTTCCCCGGCTAGCCTGAGTGGAATGAGAGACTGTTTTATTAATAGAGATGTATGTTGATTTTAAGATCTCTGGTTGGTTTAAGTGGGTTTCTTGAAAAGAAATTTTTGTAGGATTATAACTAGAAATTAAAAACTGCAAATCATAATAGTGACGATAAATACCATCACAGTTCCAATTTAGAATTAACATATGTTTTATTTGATAAGAAAATATAACCTAAAATTTGGATGAGTGCGTAGGGTTAGTTCTGTCTGTTATCAGTGTTACCTATAAGAGATGTATTTCTGATGTGATTTTGTAACCCTTGTATACTTCAGTGAATCTGCTTTTTCAGTTTTTTTTAGATAGGGACGGATAGAGTTCTGAAAGCATGTTTATAGGAGACTCAAGATCGCTTGTTATTTCTGACGTTGTAGACACTGGATTTTAGTGATAATAACTGTTTTTACCAGGTGTATCAATAAGTTATTTTATTGAGAGCAGAAATTTGGCTAATGTGATTTTTTTTGGGATCATTTTGCGCATTAGTGGCTATTTTATCTGTCCCAGGTGTTTTTACCGATACATTACTATTAACTTCTATCTTTTATGTGTTTACCCTGTCATTTAAATTTGAAAAATCGTGATTTAATACAAGTTTGTTCAATTCATTTTCAGTTGGAACAGGGACATTCCTGGTTTCTTTTAAATCAATTTTTGATTCATTGTTTGGCTATGGGATCCTTTTTATACCACCTTTTTATGCCTATTACAAGCTCCTGTGTCTTCATTAAAGAAAACATGAAAAATATAGTTATAAAACACCTAATTTATATTACCAAGTAGGATGGTAAGTGAAACTTGTGTGATGGGCTCACCCCACTAGATTTTTCGAAATGTTATTTAAACTAATTTTTGATGTTTGCCTATGTTTTGTCCTAACTTTCTTAGAGTTTATACTATTCTTTTAAAGTAAACAATGTTTATACACATTGTTCATAGAGACATCTAATTTGGAGAAACACCTATTGCTAGCAATTTATTAACAATGCTCTTGCCAAATAAAATTAATAGTACTGTAGGAAAACCTATTAAGAAACCTACAATGTTAATGATAATTCATGCAACAGCAGCTATCACAAAAAACAGAATGAATGAAATAATAAAAATGAGACAGAATTCACTGCATAATAAATTCAATTTGATTATTAGAAATTACAATTAATTTACCATACCACACCCATCCATGGGCATCCCAGAGTAATGCAACAGTCTTCCTCGCACGATTCCAAAAATCTAGTTCGCTGAGACCCCTTAATTTTTCCCTAAATTACAAGAAGAAATGAAAATTATCATACAAAAGAAATACTAATATAAAACTATAACTAGAATGTTGATGGCTAATTTTAGTTATAATTTAATGTAAAAGAAAAACATACTGGTGGTCATTAAAATAGGTGAACCTTAAATTATGTAGTTATTTCTTTCCCAACAGAAAAAAAATTGCAATTTTTTTACCTTAATATAGTGTTACATGTTTCTAGGAGACCACAAATAAAGGGGGAAAATAACATAAATTCATTTTAAAAAATCTATAATGTAAAATAAAGCAAATGGACAAAAATAAAACGCATCTAATTCCTTTGTAATTATGATATCAGAGTCTCTAGTACCTAGTGTTGCCTCTCCTTACTTGAATAATGGGCTGCACTCTTGTTGGCATACTGCGAATAAGGTTGGTTACCTGATCTTGAATCTAATGCCATTCACGTACTTGGAGGGTTCGATTGGGATATTCCAAGTTGGTCCCAAACATGCTTAATAGGATTGAAGTCTGGGCTGCGTGCTGGCCACTTCAAGGTGCGAACACTAACCTTGTATCGGTAATCTCGTACATCATCGCTGTGAGGCCTAGCATTATCCTACATAATAAGGAAATGGAAGGTAAGGAGATAAACGGACCTGAAGGTACCACACATTCCTCGAGGATATTGGTGATGTAAGTGTGTGCATTGAGCATTGGCCAATGGAACAAATGTTGGTCTGTCCTTGATTGTAAACATATTCCACCCCAAACAATCACCAACTCTTCTCTGAACTGCACTCTTCCCTCAATATTACACTGAGCTCAGTGGCGGATCCAGGAATTTTCTCAGGGGGAGGGGCGCACCACTGTACCAGGTGCTTACCCCACCAAGACCCTTCTCCGCCACTGCTTAGCTGAGTTAAGCTGCTCCAAACTATATTTTTATTTTAATTAAATTTTGTCTAGTTTATAGTGAAGAATCATTAATTACTTAAATTAAATAGTTTTGTAGTTACCACTTCCTATGCAACAAACAACCCAACACTTAAAAATTCACAAAACTTTAATTTCCTACTTTTCTGCTGAAAATCGAACCATTGTTTATATAAACTTTTTTGTAGTTCTTGAGTTCTGCTGACTCCTTTAAATATTTCCCTTAACTTAGGAGACACCCTGTTATGGGTTTAGACATGTAAAAAACAAAATTGCTAACATGGGTCACCAAGAGAAAATTTTTTACAGGAAAAAAAATAGACTATCTGATCTGTTTTTTTAAAAATCTATTACTACTAAACAGTGCATCAAAGCAAAAAACTTATTCTTTATGATATTAACGCTAATTTTTACCAATGTAGTCCAAATCTGAGACAGATTACTATAAATGAGTTCCTACAGCTTGGAAATGAGTTCTATAAGAAAAGTCAGAATAAATTCCGATTCCGATCATAACCAAATCCCGATCATATCAGAGACCAAATGATTAGTACTTTCCTTCATGAAGAAGTTCCCAACAGCAGCTATTTTAAGAAAAAAAAAAACAATACTTAATAAGAAATATACAAATTATATTTCTTATTCTTATTCGTAATTTTTCATCAGCCGTGGGTCGACCCTGGGGCCGTGAAACCCTTCTGGGGCAAATCCAGCCTCTATAAAGTTGGTACTCTTAATTAAATAATTAATTAAGGAGAAAAACCTGGTGGTTGAGAGTGACATTGGCCCGTCACCTCCCTGCACAACCGTTGGCCTTGTAACAGTAAATCCTCACATTGTACTGAACCGAAGACTTCATGTGTTGTTAGTGGTACAGGTTTTTTTTAGAAAGAGTAAATAAGATTCAATTTTTTTTTTAAATTAATTTTCCTCCATCATGTATATCACCTACGAGACTCAATTCTGAGTCAGTAGGAACAAACTGCGACAGGAGCACAAGCCTTCCCAGCACACAGCAGCCCAAAACTATATCACTTCACCCTACGAGCCAACTTTTGTTCTTACATTCAATTATCTGTTTCAAAAAATCTCGCCGTTAAAGACTGGGCAGGTGACATGATATGACAAACCGCAAGATTTATAAAAATGGTCACAACAATAATTTTTTTAATATATTACATTAGAGAATTCGTCTATGAGGATAAATTTTCCATATATTTCTCTTTTCATTAAACAGCTGCTTTTTTGTACTTTTTTTCCATCATTCAAGGGAGAGAGGGGTGCACCTTCCCTCTCCCACCCGGATGGATCCGCTAGTTATTGTCATGATAATAATTTTCTTTTATATTACATTAGAAATTTCATTCACTAATACGATCAACTAAACTTCTCCTGTACAAAGTCCTTATACAACCGGTTTTGACATACAAATGTGAAACATGGACATTGACGAAGGCCAGTGAAAGTAAAATATTAGTTTTCGAAAGGAAAATCCTTCGGAAGATATTTGGCCCAATTTAGGAGAATGATGAATAGATAATTAGACACAACCAAGAACTAGCCAACTTATAAAAGGAGCCGAATGTGGTGAAATATATCCTGATAGCGAGGCTGAGATGGGAGGGCCACATTGTACGGATGGACGAGACCTCAACCCCAAAGAAGCAGCTGAGCACGGAGCAGCATGGAAAAAAAAAGTGGACAGACCGAAACTAATATGGAAAAATAGAGTAAGTGCTGATGCCAGAATCCTTGGAATCAGGAACTGGTGGACGGCTGCTCAGGACAGGGAAACATGAAGGAAAACTCTTGAGGCAGCCAAGATACAGAAATAGATTGTCTAGCTCGGGATGATGATGATAATTACAATAAAAAATTTGCCTTAGAGGATGATTTTTCAAGTGAAAACTTCTTTAGGCGTGGTTTGCACTTTTTTGTGGAGAGTGAATTAGATTGATCTGTCAGATTTCTGAAATATTAACACTTGGGTAAAGTTGGTTAGAGTTGACTAATTGTAGTGTTTTTCATATGGATTACATTTTTCATATCTCAGAAACTAAAAATCAGGCCTGCATACTGTAAGCGAGAAAATTGTTCAGCATTTCATCCTCTCAGTAATAGGCTATAATTCAAAATTATAGCTTAACGCAAAGCCATGTTAGCGAGAAGAAAAGGAAAAATAGTGTCGAAAACCAAATGAAAACGAGGTTAGTTGTGAACATATGGATTACAATATTTCAGATACTAAAAATCGGACCTGCATACCGTAAGCGAGGGAAAGTTCATATACTAGTGCCTCTGGCAGAATATACTAGTGCTGGTCACGATAATAACTTTTTTTTTTATATTACATCAGAAAATTCTTCTAAGAGGATGAATTTTTCCTATATTTCTCTTCTCTTTAAATAGCTGCTTTTTGGAACTTTTTTCCCACCATCCAGGGGAGAGAGGGTAGCGATAATGATTTTTTTTATATATATATTACATTAGGAAATTCGTCTATGAGGATGAATTTTCCCTAAATTTCTCTTTTCTTTGAATAGCTGCTTTTTAGAATTTTCTTAGGGGGGCATGCCCCCGGACTGGATCCGTTAGTGACTGAGCTTATTGCTTGCCTGGTCTTTTTCACAATCAAACTCAACTGTCTGCACCATAAAGGTTATACTTGGACCCATCAGAAAACAGAAAAGAGGCCAAATCATCTTCTGTCCAGGCAAAGTGTTCACTACAAAAGTGAAGGTGAGCTTCTCAGTGTGTCGCGGTGAGTAGAGAGCTGCAAGCAGGAATCCTGGTGTGCTGGTTGAATTCAGTAAGCCTTCTTACTGTGTGGACGCTGACATCTGCACGCTGAGCAATATGCATTCAATGAGAAGCCTTAACAAAAGTCTGGTAGTTGTTTCTGAGGGTCTGCATAGCAATGAACTGGTTATCAGCTGGACCTGTTGCTCTTGAATGGCCTGACACGGGCTCCTAGTGTAGCATCCTGTCTCCCCTAGGGTACCTATGGAATGCCCACAGAACCGCTGTTTCAGTCAGCCCATGGACTCATGCCGCGTGTTAATGGCTTCTGCTGTTCTCAATTAATGCAGTAATCTGAGTGACTGCCACGGGATCCAAAACCATTTTAAACCCTTAAAAATGTTTGATACAAATGAAATACTGTTTTCCAAGAAAAACAAAACCAATGCGATTGAACAGGGAACTAGAGACAAACTGTTATGAAGTCCACGTTTTCTTTTAATACTTTTATTGTTAATCCTAGAGAGAATTATGAAATTACGAAACAATGGAGAATTCGAGTTTTCAGGCTTTCATGAACGCACATAGCTACACCTCCGCCAGTCCGGCTATCTTGGTCGTGGCGGATTAGTATGTAGTTGGGAAGGGAAACTGAAGAGGATGGGATGTATAAGGCTTGAGCCAGGTTTCAGAAATCGCAATGATGTGGTAAAAGTTTTGGGTAAAATAATCTAGGAGTTCATCGTAATGAGCAGGAAGGGATTGGGAGTTGACTTGACAGGTGTTTAGGACACTAGAGATGAGTAGGATTTAGGAGAGTGCAGCCGGTATTTGAGGGGAAGACGCTGGAACATATTAGATACTTTAAATGTGATGAAAAAACAAAATAAAAGAAGTCTGGAAATGAATAAATCAGTGGGTAACAATGGTAAGATTTGCGATCAAAGTCCGGTGAGCTAGCCAAATGTCGATTGATGCTGGAAGGTGGACTGTCGAACCGTCAGCCGAAGACATCTAAGTCCTTGGCCTGGTCGATGATGACAACCTGATAGTTATATGTTTATGTTGATTTATTCCTTATCACAATGATCACATGTTACTATACACAGCATAATTTAATACAATCATACAAAGCACTTAATCAGAAGTACTTACCTGTGCTTATATACATATAGAATCATTGCAGTAGTGCAAAATAGCAATATTATAACAAAAGGCAAGAGAAACGATAATAACAGAGGAGTTAGCATCCAAGTTAGCCATAGTGAGTAGTCAATATCGATGTATTCAACTGAAATAAAATAAACTAGTTACATAAAATAAATTTTACATAGTTTCATAATATAAATTTAAAAAATTTGTCCAAAACTTTGTTAAATTTTATTTCTTTTGATGTACCAAAAACAAATATTAGAACTTCTGTAGCTGTATTTGACCCCCCAAAAAATCAGAAAACTTCCTTATCAGTACCAGTTGAATTCAGTATCATCAGCTCTGAACTATATGCCATCGTTAAAGCCATAATATATACTGAAAAAACATACTTCAAAGACAATATAGTTATTTTGATATTATACAGCAGCTGCATATAAACATTTAGAATTAATCTAACAAAATAAAGTAGAAAGACACCATTTTGGTACTTCTTAAATAGCTGGTTGGGTCAGACTGCTATCTGCCAATGTTTATAACTTTAGCACTGATAATTCTGACATGGCACTGATAATATCTTCGTGTTCATATTTATTGTATTATATTGCCCCGAGATACTACCATGTTTCTCACCACTACACTGAGTTAGAGTGGCTCTTTCCCTCCATTCGAAGACAATATTTCCTAGGTACATTCCTCTATCATATCATCAACAATCATCGTCCTTCTTACGCCTACAACCTTCTCCAATTCAAATCCTCAGCCCACTCCCTTTCCACAAGATCTCGACCTTCCGACCTTTACATTCCTTCTCACAGATCTGCCTCGTTCCAAAACTCCTTCACAGCTCGCTCTGTTAAATTTTGGAATTCCCTTCCTATCAAAATTCGGCATTCTTCATCCCTGTCAAGATTCAAAACCCTCCTATTCCAATTCCTGTCCCAAAAACAGTCAGATACCCGCTAACCTTTTATGTAAAATTATATATTATTCATAATAATGTTTTTACATATAGCTCATAACTGAAATACTCATTAGCAGATTCGACTTTTTTTTATTTTTTCTAAAAGTATATATTTATATTTTACAATTGTACAAAGTTTTGAGTGTCTTGGCAAGGTTTCAAGAGTTTTGTATATAGATTTTTTAAATTTTGTATATAGTATATAAAACTAATATTTTCTTTACTGATTTAGCTTTACCTTTACTTTTTATGTTTGTTTTTATTTGGCCAGATACAACATTTTAATTTTGTAATTTTTTGTTATTCTGAAGGGACTTCGTCCCAGAATAAAATTATTTTCTATTCTATTCTATTCTATATTCATATTATTATATCTTTGTATTCATATTTATTGTATTATATTCATATTATTAATATTCATATTATTATATCTTCGTATTCATACTTATTGTATTATATTCATATTATTGAAATTGTAAACAAAAACAAAAACAAATGTAATGATAAAAAAATACTTATATTTTACAAGATAAATATTAAATAGACCAAAACATTATACATATATAATGTAAAAACATTACAACATATATATAAAAATAAATGAAATAATAAAAATAGGCAAAAATGGACAAAAATAAATGAAATAATAAAAATCCACTTCAACAACATATGTACATATAAAAGAAACAATATAAACAAAATATGTACATAAAAAACAATTTTATTTTAACTTAATTTATTTTGGTAGGAAAAATAGTTTTATGCTATTTAAAATAGCGAGGAACGGATCCTCTTCTCTGTGAGCCCGCTGCCACAAAAACTCACATAAATATGTATTACCTGAATTAAATAACTTTTGTATTGTCGCTTCCTAAGAAAGAGAAAACGTGACCAGTGTAAGAAAAGACAAAATTGGACTTAACTCCTTTTCCGTTCGAAATCGGACCGAACATTACATGAAATTTTTTGTTAGAAATTTTATCTAGTCACCTCCCAGTGTTTGGCCACTAGGAACTAAGACACCCTGTATATAAAGTATAAATAGATAAACATATTAAAAACTTATCCGCCCAGTAGGCCAATATAGCTTCCTAGCCGTTCCTATTGGGTACTTAATGTTTAACACATTAAATATTCAAAATTGTTGATTTCAAAATATGGTACTCCTTAAATAGCCGGTCAGGTCGAAACCTCCCTTGTTATCTAATCTAATATCACATAACCTCCCTTCTTATCTTGTCTAACCTAAGTTATTCCATTGTTTACCTTTTGTTCCTCATGTAAGCTGTGAGTTAGTGTTATTTCCTGACAAAAAAAGAGATGACAGACACAGAAGAGATGGAAGCAGCGGCTATCCCCAGAGAAGTCAAGCTCCCACCAATATTTATCAGAAACATAAAAATTTTCAATTAAATAAAATCGTTGGTACAGAAAATTACACATGTCTAAGATGCACCAATTACCCAAAATTATTGCCTAGCATCCAAGAAACCGACAGAAAAATCGTGAAATATCTTTCTGACACCAATGCAGATTTTCATACATATCAATTATGGCAGGAGCGAGAGCACTCAGGGTCGTAATCAGGCGACTTCATCCCTCAACACCACTAAATATTATAAAAGAAGAATTGATGGCTAAGGGATTCCAGGTTCGTCAAATTGTAAATGTATATAAAGAGGAAAGGGAACATACCAGAGCAAAGAATAAAATAGCTTTACCGATATTTTTCATCGACCTTGAACGAACGCCTGGGATCGAAGACATCTACAAAGTTAATCGCCTGTACTATACCAGTATAACTGTCAAAAAACCTTACCCTAAGCGGGATATAGTCCAGTGCCACAACTGTCAGACCTATGGCCACACAAAACACTACTGCCATCACATATCTCGTTGTGGAAAACAGAACAAAAGATGATTGCAACTTCCGGGACGGAAGAGACATCTAGACCATTCAGACACCCTTCTAGAATAGGGGGTCGTAAATTCTTTCAAGACCTTGATCCAACAAGCAGTTTGGACTGCTTCCTCACCTCTTCCTTCCCTGAGATACCGCAAGAAAGATCCTTTATCTCAAGACCTTGCAGACCTCATTCATGCCAAACGATGATCCAGGACCCACTGGCAAAGAACCAGGCATCCTGACGACTGGAAATTATACAACCACCTTTCCAAACTGTTAAAAAAGAAATTGGCTACCTTCAGATTCCAATCCTTCAATTCCCACCTCTCCTTGCTCTCTACTTCTGATTACTCTCTCTGGAATGTAACAAAAAAATCCTAAAATACCACACCATTTCCCATCCCCTCTGGCTTGATGATGGCTCCTGCGCTTTCTAAGATGAGAACAGGGCAGAGGAATTTGCAAATCAATTATCCAAAACATTCATTCCCCATTCTGAACAAAATCCCTCTCACACAGATAAAGGTAAGGAATTTCCTTACCTTCTAAATCTGTTAACCCCTCTGAGGCCAAATTCCTTATAAATAAACTGAAATCCAGAAAATCCCCTGGATTCGATCTCCCCACTTCATAGATCCTTCAATAACTTCCTAAAAAGCTATATTCCTTACCTACCTATATAATTGTATCCTTCATACAACCCACTATCCTTTGATATGGAAACACTCCATAGTCATCTTTTTCCTTAAACCAGGCAAACCTCCTAATGACACTTCATCCTATAGACCAATAAGCCTTCTCTCAATTCTTTCAAAAGTATTTGAAAAAATACTTCTCAAATGAATCCTACCCATACTCGAATCGCAAGAAATTCCTTCACATTAGTTTGGCCTCCGCTCAGAACATTCGACAGTTCAACAAGGCCTTTGAGCTGATGATCACATATCCTCTGCACTCGAAAGCAAGCAATATTGCAGCAATGCGTTTCTGGACGTAGAGCAAGCTTTCGACCGGCTATGACACGATGGCTTGCTTTTCAAACTCAAAATCCACTTACCCCAATCCTTATATTTAATCCTAAGATCATACCTTTCCAACCGTTCCTTTCAAGTACACTGCGGCACAGAACTCTCCAACAATTATCCAATAGAAGCTGGTGTTCCACAAGGCAGCGTCTTGGGTCCAGTTCTCTACATCCTCCGTACTGCTGACATCCCTATAAATTCCAATACCTTCCTGGCAACATTTGCTGATGATCTGCAAAGTCATCTTTCTCTAATTGAGCAGTGGTGCAAGGATTGGGGTATTAAAGTACATGAATCAAAGTGTAAGCATATCACTTTCACACTCCGATGCAAATCTTGCCAGCCAATATTTTTTAACTCCATACCTCTTCCCTTCTTAGATACAGTCCGGTACTTGGGCTGGTACTTATTTAGCAGCGGGTAGCATCCGACTGCTATCTGCCAATGTTTATAACCTTAATAGTGATAAGCTCTTCGTATTCATTTTTATTGTATTATATTCATATTATTATATCTTCGTTTTCATATTTAATGTATTGTATTGATATTATTGAAATTGTGAACAAATGTAATAATAAAAAAATACTTTTATTTTACAACATATATATTAAAATACACCAAAACATCATAAAGATATAATTAAAAACATTACAAAAATATTGCAACATATGTAAAAAAGATATACTCGACCCCTCTAAACACGTTCCTTTCCTTATAGAAACGGTTTTATTACAACTACGAAAGCATTTCCATTTAATCTTCCCGTCGAACTTCATTTTATGACCTTCATCATAATATTTGACCTTTGCAAATATCCCGGCGTCTTGAAAATATTTTACAGCCTCCTGAAAACGGCAATTCCCACAATGTGACAACATCCATAATTAAATAACACTAACTCACAGCTAACACAAGAAACAAAAAATAAACAAGGGAATAACTTAGGTTATATGAGATAAAGGAGGTTATGTGAAATGAGATTAGATAAGAAGGGAGGTTTTGACGCTACCTGCTACTAAATAAGTACCCTTGGGCTTCCTTTTAAACAAGAGACTGACATGGGACCACCATACCAGACTCAAAAGACAAGAGCTAAACTGACGATTTGGACAATTATATAGACTACTGAACAGAAACTCACATCTCTCAACTGATAACAAACTACTAGTCTATAAGACCATACTAAAACCCATCTGGACATATGGAATTGAACTGTTGGGGACAACTAAATCATCGTACATCAAATGTATCCAATCCTTTCAATCCAAAGTCCTTCAAACATTAGTTAATGCTCTGTACTACCTCACAAACAAAACCGTAAATCATTATCTCAACATCCCCTTTGCCTCAACATAATTCCATCCAAATTCTCAAACTTTCATAAGAATCTTATCTATCATCCTAATCCCTTTCCAGCTCCAACCATCCATATAATCCCCCAGCAATGGCCCCTAGATCTATTATAAATATTCTATTGGAGTTCTGGCAGTGGCCAGTTTCTCCACTCAAGTCCTGAGCGTATGAGACTTTGGCACTCTTACTCAGTCTCCACTGGCTTTAAACAGTGATGCGGCTTGGAGACAAGCGCTGGGATCTCTTTGAGCCCTGCCTTGCTTTCAAGGCATGGTTCAGAGTTCCCTAGGCTGAATGTAAATATTGTACATAGGAATGAATGTGATTTTATTTCCTGCTTCGCTATTCTTTCAATTGTTTTTTTTTTCCTTTTTATTTATTTTTTTTTTTTTAATGTATATAACTTTACTTACTTGTTTTCTTCTTATTTTATTTTTTCTCAATTTATATTTTAAATTGTATATAAAATGTATGAATGTAAACATAGAGCCATAATGCTTAATGCCCTAGATTGTGGCAGATTGTATTATTTTTCATCAATAAAAATATCTACATTATATATATCATAGAAAATGATCTTATTCTGGGACAATGTTCCTTAAGAATAACAGCTGTTTACAGAAACATACAGATTATTTCTGGCCAAAAGACTGAAAGATATTGAATAAATAAAAAGAAAAAAGATTATCAAAAATATTTACTACAAATACAGAATGGTAAAGAAAAATCAAATAAAAATTATTAATATACATTTATTACATATAAATATAATACATTTATTACACATAAAATTTATTAAAATAAATCCCAGACCATAAACAAAAAGAAATTAAAACTTTTTAATAATTTATCTTCCTCATTTTTGCAAGAAACAAAGGAAATTGGGGATTTAGAATATAGAATCACTACTTTTTTTACACAACGATAAATCTCAACTTATTCTGTAACAAACCTTAACTTAATTAATATGGATTTAAACTTCATTAAATGGGTAATTTATACTAAAATTGAGGTAACTGCTGTTCATTTGTAGAGTGACAAAACTTGTTTTCGAACAATCCATGATTTAATGAAAAACAGAACTAAACGTAGTTTATCAACTTAAAAGTCCCATTTAAATGATATTAACAAAGGCTTATCTTGCTTTTGTATTAAATGTTGTCTAGCTGTTAATTACCATTACATTTTTTTTTTTTTGTTATTGCTTCCAAATTAACAAAAAAGTGATCTTTAAAGAATACAAAACTTATATTCCCCGGAAAATCAGACCATGGTTTACATAAACTTTATCACATTAAAAGAAACATTAACATTATGAGATAAACACAAAAAGAGAAGTTGGCCACTTTTAATATGAGCTAATTGGTGAGATAATCATACTTTCAGTCTATCTAAAAAAAGTTAAAATATAAAAAAATAATTCATGTTTCAATGGATCAAAACACAGTAATTAGACCCATTGAACCATAATCATGACAGTATAAAAGTTGTAAAAAGAAACAACAATTCTTGTAACCTAACATTGGTTAAAATCAAACATAACAATTTTAAATATAGGTATAATAAATTTGGATCAAATGAATTTCTAAACCTTGATTTTAGGAACAGCAATCTTTATCAAGACAAAAACAACTAAAAAACGAAGGAATAATCACCTAATACGTCTCTGATTACTCTAATTCCAGCCGTTAATGTTGTCATCTTGAAAAATACTCATTTTAAACTACATTAACAAGTGAAATAGGGAAATTTCTACACCAACTGCTTGGAGGTTATATTTACAACTGCTTGGAGGTTACATTTTTGGCAAGTTCCTAAACTCAGCGTTGAGCTCATCGAAGACATCGGATGCGCATCCAAACTGATCGAAACGATGCCAGTGATAAAATCAGCGCTGAGTTGAGAAACTTGCCCTTTCTTTCACTCAAGTGCAATGGTACGACCTTCACTAGGATTTAAACATTCCAACTTTACTTGGGTATTTCTTAATAATATAAATCTCCATCCACTTATTTAAATTTGAATTATTTTTTAAATAATAAGGGTTCGTTAAACTGAGCGAGCTTATTAGCTATCAGAGGTCGGTCAGTTAGTACGATAGTGTAGGCTCACCAAGCTTCCCAATCGCTGAATAGCTAATGACATTCTGTAGAATGTGAAACTAGGAAATACAGAGATAATCGCAACTGGTTTACAAATAACTCCGGTGATAGACATTACTAAATAATAAACCTTAACTTTAGAAATGGGTAATTAGTCGACAGATCTATTATTAGGATGAAACAAAATTGTCAGGATTTACAGTCAAGAATTTTTATTAGGTTAGCCGACGTTTCAACCCAAACATGTGGATCATCCTCAGAGTTATCTTTTGGGAGTAGAGACAAGAACATATGTTTGGGTTGAAACGTCTGCTAACCTTATAGAAATTCTTGACTGTAAATCCTGACAATTCTGTTTCATCCTAATAAACCTTAATATTCACGCCGATATTTAAAATCTCCTGCTTACACGATAAAGGCTCATAAGAAAAGAACAGGGTCTGTCTTGGGAAACTGTCATGTCTGTCCGCAGTCGGATTCTTCTTCTTTTGCATGTTTACAGTAGTGCCTTGCAGCGTTGGGGGAGCCTCTAACCAGGATTGCCAATGTTCCCTGCTTCTTGCAAGATTTCTGGCTTGGCGTATATTCTTATTTATATTTTTGCACAGGCGGTCTACTTATTCGAAGTACGACATCCTGGGTCTGCCGTGGGGTCTTCTAACATCGGACACATAGTGTCAGGATTAATTAATTGATGTTATTTGTTATTGTATATTCTACCTACAACACTGTTACTGGCAACACTGTCAGATGTGATGTCAGTGATCACAACAATGTATACTCCCTCGATATGGCTTCTATGTTTGTAGTGTTCTTCCACAATAAATGTTTGTTAATGTCTGTGTTTGTTTCGTAAAGAAACCCTAACAATTATTAACAGGTTATGGGCCCAGTGTATAAACAATTGTTTATGATCCTTGCGTAATCGTGTGTGATTATAAGAACGTAGAAGCAATGGCCAAAGTAAGTTCTGCAGTTCCTATTCTAGTCGGGTCAAATTATAGCAATTGGGAATTTAGAATCAAACAATATTGGAAAAAGAACAGATTAAGGATGTGGTAACAAAAGCAATTCCGAATGATGAAAATATCAAGAAAACATTCCTGTTACAAGATGCCAAAGCTAAAGCTATCATTATTGAAGGACTTTCTGACAAACATCTTGACTTAGTGAAGGATTGTACAACTGCCAAGTTAATGATTAAGGCCCTAAATGATGTTTTTGTGAGAACTACAGCTTTTTCTAAACTGGCATTATGGCGTAAGTTACTTAATCCAAAATATTCTGTTGTTGACAGCATGGAAGATCATATCTTGAAATTTGATACTATTATTAGGGAATTAGTGGACATGAGAACACAATTTGATGAAAATGATAAAATATGTCATTTATTCTTGACAAGGCAGTGGATCAGCTGATGCGAAGGTCGTTTTCTGAAATCTTCTCTCAGTTTTTGCCTATTTTTCAGCGGAATCTATTTGATTATTTACTGAATACAGTTGAAGTATACACCACAGCAGTTGTTATTTACTGTTTGCTACATTTTTTTTTTTTGTGTTTTTTTAATTTTTAATTTTTTTTTTCTTTTATGATATGCCGCATTGCCAGCAAGTGATGTCCAGTAAGGTGCCCACTAAGAGGACTCGGTCAGACGGTGTTATTACCCCTTGTGATTCACCAGCGAAACAAAGAACTCGTCGCTGCCTGCGAGAAATAGCTCCAATAACCACAGTGAAAACTTCAGGTCCAGAACTTCAGCCTCAACGAGGTACCTCTTCGCAAGAAATGGTTGAAGAATCTCCTTTCTTCACTCCAAACCCGTTCCAAGTACTTCATAATGACAGAGAAGTAATGGAGTCAGCAGCAATATCCAGGGAACCAAGGCCTCCACCGATATTTGTAAAAAATATCAAAAATTTTCAACTACTGTGCACACAACTAAACGAAATCTGCTCCGGCAGTTATTCTTGCCTCAACAGGACTAACGACACAAAAATAACAACTGATACTGCAGAAGCCTACCGAAAAATTGTGAAGTACCTGTCTGAAACGAATGCAAATTTCCACACGTACCAGCTGAAACAGGAGAGATCGCTACGAGTGGTGGTAAGAAATTTACACTCCTCAACCCCAACTGAAGTGATAAAAGAAAAACTAGCAACGCTTGGTTTCAAAGTGCGTCAGGTAACCAATGTTCTGAAGGAGAATAAGGAGCAACTAGGAGTAAGTAATAAAGTTCCACTACCTATATTTTTCGTGGATCTAGAGCCATCACCTGGTATTGAAAAGATATATGATATCAAGAGATTGTACTACACTATCGTGAAGATAGAGAAGCCATACCCCAAGAAGGAAATTGTGCAGTGCCACAATTGCCAGGCGTATGGCCACACGAAAACTTATTGTTACCATCTGCCGCGTTGCGTGAAATGCGGTGAACAGCACAAATCTGTGGAGTGCACCAAACCAATACAAGACCCTGCAGTGTGTGCACTATGCCAGGAGGGACACCCGGCCAACTACAAAGGCTGCCAAACCTATAAGAGCCTCAAATCCAGATACCAGAAGAACCGGATTCAAGATGAGACAACCAGACCAAAAAGAGAACCTTCTAGAATTGTAAATAATAATTTATCATACTCCGAACTACTTGGAGGTAAGAACCCAAATAATACATGTGAAGCCCTGCCGCAGCAACTACCTCAGCCCCAACATCAATATTCTGTTCATCCTAACACACATAATCATCAACAGCCTCAAATTCCTCATATTCCTCCTCCTTCAAATGCAACAGATCTCACCAGTTTGTTAGCATCTTTCCTCGCCGATTTCAAATCCCTAGTTACTCCACTCATATCACTCCTTACAAATATCGTATCTCACCTCATCCCTCCTTTAAAAAATCCTTAATGACTCACATCCCAAAACCCATGTCCATTCTCCTTTGGAATGCGAATGGTGTTAGAAATCACTTTGACGAACTAACAGCTTTACTACAAGACAAGAACATTGACGTAGCCCTAATTACAGAAACTCGACTGACCATAAAACAGCATTTAAAAATCCCACAGTATATAACATACCGTACTGACCATCCTGACGGTAAAGCACATGCCGGTACTGCTGTCATCGTACACCAATCCCTCTCCCATTACTTACTCCCATTATCTACTCAAGATTTCCTACAGTCAACCGCTATTGTAATCAAAACCTTCTCCTTTCCAGTCACCCTTGCATCAGCATATTGCCCTCCTAACAGATCCATATCCAAAGTCCAGTTCAGTTCTCTCCTCAACTCCTTAGGTCATCATTTCATCCTGGGTGCAGACTTAAATGCCAAGCATCAAGTTTGGGGTTCAAGAACCACGAATTCTCGTGGCAGAACATTTCTGTCTGCACTCAATACCCAACGTTTCAGTCTCTTTCCACCCAACTCACCAACCTACTGGCCCACTGATCCTAACCGCAATCCTGATATCCTTGATTTTTTCATCCACAGTGGTTTAGGTCCCCTCAATCATTCCCTTACCCGTGTTGACGAACTTTCCTCAGATCATAGTCCATTATTACTCCAATTATCTCTAGCTCCTTTTCCTAAGTCTTCTCCACCGTCCTACATCAGAGGCCCAGTTAACTGGAAACTCTTTCACCAAATCCTTTCCGATAAAATTGACCTCAGAATAACCCCAAAAACCCCAGATGACATTGACAATGCCGTACACCTTTTCACCACCACTATCCAACAAGCAATTTGGACTGCTTCCTCTCCAAACCACTCCTCAAGAACTCCCAAGAAAGATAAGTTACCTCAACACCTCATAGACCTAATCCATACCAAACGCCGCGCCAGATTATTATGGCAACCTACTAGACACCCCATCGATCGTCGCTCCTATAATTTTTACAGTAAACAATTAAAGCAGGAATTGGCCACCTTCAGATCCCAATCCTTCAACTCCTACCTTACCTCCCTCTCTGTTCATGACAATTCCCTATGGAAGTTCACCAACAAAATCCTAAATTCCCATCATATTTCCCATCCCCTCCGTAGAAGCGATGGCTCCTGGGCAGCGTCTGATGAAGATAAAGCTGAGGAATTCGCCAGACACCTCTCCAGAACATTTACCTCTCATCCAGAATCCAACCTCACCCATACCACAACAGTAGAAGAATTCCTTACATCACCCATTCCACTTTCCTTACCCCCTAAAGCAATTAATCCTGCTGAGGTCAAACATCACTTACAACAACTTCCTCTCCGTAAATCTCCTGGATACAACCTCCTTACCCCTCAAATCCTTCGACAACTTTCTCCTAAAGCTGTTATATTTCTGACTTATTTATACAATACCATCCTTAAAACCACCCACTTTCCTCTTTTGTGGAAACATTCCACTATTATCCTGTTTCCGAAACCAGGCAAATCTCCCAACACCCCTACGTCCTACAGACCAATTAGCCTACTTCCAATCCTCTCCAAAATCTTTGAAAAGATCTTCCTGAAACGAATCCTACCTTTTACAGAATCCCAAAATCTTCCTTCCCATCAGTTCGGATTTCGTTCACAACACTCCACAGTCCAACAAGGACTCCGAGTGGTCGATCATATTTCCGCAGCGCTAGAAAACAAGCAATACTGCTCGGGTGTATTTCTGGATATAGCTCAAGCTTTTGACCGGGTTTGTCACGCCGGACTTCTTTCCGAGCTGAAAATCCATCTACCTTAGTCCTTGTACCTAATCCTCC